GTCCCCTTTTCAGGCACGACCGTGTGTCCAGGCCTAAACCCGTCTTTGGCAAGGGGAGCAAGCCCGTCAGCCCTGGCTCAGGGCCGTCTCAGTCCCCGGGGGCGCTGCGGGGTCTGACGGGAAGAGGGGCTCCGGTGGTGGTGGCGTCTGCTGTGTGACAAGCTGCTGTCTCCCAGCAGCTTGGGCCGGGGCACGCGGTGGACTTGCCTGCATGGACACTTTATGTCTCTTACGCTCGAAAGCTGCAGCCCTGCTGTGGCTTCGCCGAGGCTCTCCTTCCAGGGGGTGCGGTGGTGCTCTCTGTCCCCTCTGGTCCTGCGTCACCCTCAGTGCTGATGAGCACGTGCTCGGTCCCGCGTCCTCTAGGCCTGCCCCCTCCCCAGGTCTGGTCCCCTGTCGGCGCCGTGGGGCTTGTTGGTGGGGGTGCAGCTTTGGTTGGAACCTCATGCCTCCCTCGAGCCGCTCCTGAAGGCTCCAGTCACAGCATTTTGTTCATAGAAGGTGCCTCTCTTGCTCTTGTCCTGCACTAGTTACTCCTTCAGAGAGGATTTGGGGAGCCTTTAATCATTCCTTCTGGACTGGGAAGCACTGAATATTTCTCTTTAATGCTGGGAAGCAGAGTACTGTGTGCATCGCACCCTCTGGAGTTCTTGCTGAGTTCTGTCTCTGCGTCACCAGGAAACCAGAAAAAGTGATTGATTAACCTTACGACTTGCACCATGCTGGCTGCCCTGAGTAGCGCCTTAAAAATTGATGGTGAGATCTCTTCCAGGTTTTCATTAAAATCCACCTTGCAGATGTCTCGGCACCTGCGGGCATGGCGTTCTGTGGCCCTGGTGCTTCCTGCACCAGACTGTGCAGTGGAGCTGGAGCTGGAGCTGGTCCTGTTCCGCACCGCGGCTGTGGGGCCCAGTGCGAGACACCTACCCTCCCTGTGAAGTAGGGGGCTGGGCAGGGGCCGCCTCTCAGCTACTGAGTTCACTCGGAGTCTCCCCTGCCTCAGGTTAACACCTTATCAGTTATCTGTGCTTCCTAACAAATGACCACCCAGTTAGTGCTTCCCGCTGCCCACCACGGCCATCACGTGGTTTCTGCGGGGACAGTCAAGAGCCCGCAACCTCAAGTCTCTCGTGAGGCCGCAGGCCAGGTGTCAGTGGGGCTGGCGTCTCATCCGAGGGCTCTACCGGGAGGACCTGCTCCCGAGCTCACGGACGCGTTTGTGGCAGGATGCGGTTGGACCCAGGGCCTGGGTTTCTTGTGGGCTGTTCCTCAGTGTGGGTTTTGGAAGCAGACAGTGCGTGTTAAGTTTTGCTGATTTAACTTCTGCGTGAGCCCTGATGGAGTCAGAGTAGAGCAAGTGCAGAGAGCTTTGCTGGCAGTGTCGTTTGTTAGGATTCGACCTGAGTGCTTTGCGCACTGTTACGGATCTTCCCCGCTTGGCACACTTCATGGTGCTTCCCACAGCAGCCTCTTCAAGAATTCACTCTGCTGAGTTTACAGTGCCTGTCTTCTGATGATAGGACCTTATGTGTTCACGCTTCTGAAGAGTTTGATAATGCATCCCCGTGTTCATAGAAAATTAATTAGAACACTGAATGCTGATTACTTAGAAAATATACGGAACCTTTTTTAAGTATAGCTGGTTTACAATGTAGTGATTCACAATTTTTAAAGGTTATACTCCATCTATAGTTATTATAAAATAGTGGCTATATTTCCTGTGTTGTACACTACATCCTTGTAGCTTAATTTTATACATAATAGTCTGTACCTCTTAATCCCCTCCCTCTACATTGTCGCTCCCCTTCCCTCTCCCCACTGGGAACCCCTAGTTTGTTCTCTATACCCGTGAGTCTGCTTCTTTTTTGTTATAGTCCCTAGTTTGCTGTATTTTTTAGATTCCACATATAAGTGTTATCATGCAGTATTGGTCTTTCTCTGTCTGCATGATACCCCCCAAGTCCATCCATATTGCTGCAAAAGGCAGAATTTCGCTCTTTTATGGCTGAGTTGTATACTCAACCGTTTTATGTACCTGATTGTTGATCTTACTTAACTAGTCTTCAGAAAACTGAAATGGCGCCTGTACATGTTTCTTTTGGCTAGTTTTTTTTCCCTAAAGGAGAGGCCATAAAACTGTTTCTTGGTTGGTGCTGTCAATGTGGATGTTAAACGTCCAGCCACAGCTGGAAAAGCTGAAGCCCAGTGTGGAAAAGCTCACCCTGTGTGTCTGATGCTCGTGTTTTAGGCCCATTTCAGGGTATGGGGCTCTGTGCCGCCGTCCCTCTTCAGGAGGCTGTGCCTGTCACTGCTGCGGGCAGGGCCGAGATGCCCTCTGCCCACACCAGCTCTCACTGGCCTTCCCTTGTGGTTGAGAGTCCAGGTCCTGCGTTGTGAGGCTCCTGCCACCGTCCCTTTCTCCTCCATGGCTTTGCGGTGGTCGCACCGTGTGGTCCCCTCTGCGTCTTGCCTGGGGGCCGGGCCTCCTCCCTGTGACCTGTCCATGCTCTGTGCCCCCCACGTGCCCCTGAAGGTGATGGCACCCCTGATCCTGGGCTGACTTGCCTCTGCTGCTCAGATGACGAGAGAAGGAGAAGCCGTGGCCCGTGATGCAGGGGAAAAGGGGTGGGACCACTGCCCATCATCAGAGGAGCAGACCCTCTGCCGCCCCCAGCCCCTCGGCCCTTGCTGACCCCTCCCGGCGGGCTCCCCACCCGGCTGAGCCAGTCGACATCCTCCAGGAGATTGGGGGTGAGACTGAGGGTCAGTGGGGTCCCCCGTGGGGCCCTCTTGTGGGGTGTCTGGCGCAGGTGCTCCATGGGTGGCCGTGAGCGTGCTGGCCTGGAGGGGAGGCACTGGGATGGCCCTGGGTTTGGGTCCCCGACGTGGCCCTCTCTGCCAAGCTACCTCAGGCCCGGTTCTGCCCAGGTGGCCTGAGCTGCGGCCTGGGCAGCAGGTGTTGCCAGGTCCCGTGGGAGCACCCAGGCCCTGCTGGCCAGCGGCCCCCTTTCTGTCCCTCAGCCGCTTTGTCCTTCCTGACGTCTCGCCCGGCCTCTGGCTCTTCTCGCCCTGCGGCGCTGTCCTCGGCCAGGCTCAGTTCTGCGCCCGCCATCGGGCATGCTCCACGGGCGGAGCGCTGCTGGGTGCGGCTCTGCGTCGCCACTGGGAGCTTCCTGGGGGTGTGTCCCCCTTCGAGGCCCCGCTTCCCCTGCTGAGCTTTCGGCCCAGGAGCTGCTCTCCTCCACCCTCGGCCGCTCTCCCTGCCCCTTCTCCCCACTCCAGGCACCCCGGGGCCTGTTTCAGGTGATGGCTGCTCCCCGGAGCCTCCCTGGCAGCTTGAATGTGAGCCCTGGGAGTGCCCAGAGCACGGGCACTTCCTCCTTGAGGTGCGGGTGGGCACCCCTGTTTCATTCCGTCGCCGCCGTGCCTGGTTGGGTCCCCCCGACACTAACACAACACACATGTCTTGCCCAGACCAGACTAACCCTTTAACGTTTGTGGAGAGGAGATTAATAAGTGGTGCTCGGTCTGTAATGGCAGAACAGGTATTTTAACTGGGGTCTTATAAAACAAGAACCCCCGCTTTTCCAGGGGGCGGGCTCTCTCCTCCGCTGCCTCGTTTGGCTGTGGGCAGGGGGTGGGGCGGGGGAGGGCAGGGCTGGGGCCCAGGAGCTGGGCAGGCACCCGGGAAGACACAGGAGCCGCCTGCGTGTCTCCTTAGAGATGTGACGTGTCCCTCCCGTCCCTCCCCCCGCGCTCACGGGCACAGACACCCGTCCTCCTTCCTCCCGTCAGCTCTAGCCCTTCAGTCCCCGGGAGGGGGGCGTGTGCACCCGCAAGGACTTCAGAGGCCCATCATCCACGTGATTTGCTGAATCCGTGAGGCAGGAAAATGGGTTTTTGGGAGAAGGATTTTTCTGGGGCAGGTTGAGACATGAAACTGTCCAGAACCGAGAGAGGCGAGCTGCCGCTGCCGGCTGGTCAGCGTGTCCTGGCTGGGCGACCTCTGCTGCAGTGGGTGCTAGAGTAAGCGGGGCTCTCACTCGGAAGTCGACGTGCCCGCTGTCAGGCTTCTTAACTGGTCCAGGCTCTCTGGAGCGGAAACTGGCTGTTTTCCCCAGGCTTCTGCTCCATCCCCTTGCACTGACCGCCCACTCCGTGTGCCCACCCCGGCCGGGGCCAAGTCTGGGGCCCGATGACAGCCTCGGGCCTCTGTCCAGTGCTGCCGTGGCCATGCCCGGGTCCCTCTCAGAGGGTCCGCAGGGCGAGGCTAGTGTTCAGGGTAAAGTGAAGTGAATCACGGAGGGTCGAGTAACCTGAGGACCACAGACAAGCCTGGAGCCCTCCTGCCTCCAGACACCACCGCGTGATAGGCCTTTGTGCATAAGATTGTAGACGGCAAGTGGGAGGGCCGGTGGGGCAGCGGGGTCGGGGGTGGAGGGGGCCCTTCTCCCAGGCTTGCACCAGGGCCCGGCCTCGACTGCGCTGGTGGTCTCGAGGGTCTCCGCCGTCCGTTACCTATTGGGGTTTAGTTAACCCCCGAGTAACGGACGCCGAGATCCTCGCAGCAGGGAGGGGAGGGCACACGTCTGAGCACACGTCTGGGTGGGTCGCAGCCTTTTGTCCTTCTCCACCTGGGGTTGGCCGTGCGGACCGGCGGGCCTCGTCCTTGGTTTTGGAGGAAGCCAGACGGAGCTGGTGCGTGTTGTCTTCAGATTTGAGTGGATTCTCCCTAATCCCACACTGGCAAGTCCTGTCTGATAGAGGCTCTGTTAACGTGCCTTCTATTTTTTGCTGTGTTCAGTTTTATATATTTTTTTTCCAAATAAGGTTCAAACATTCTTGCCTTCTAAGGGGAGGAAACAAAGACAGAGCTTCCTAATTATTTTCAGTAATTATCTTCAATGATAGCCCGTACAAGATATCCTCTTAAATGCTCTGAATAGAGTTCAAATTACTTGTCTTTTCTTCTTCCTTTGAAAACATCACCCAATTTGCAGCTGGCCAGTTCGGCGTCCCTGGAAGGGAAGGGACAGCTGAAGTTCACGACGGGGCGGTGGAGCCCGCATCACAACTGCACCCAGGTGGCCACGGCGAACGACACGGCTGTCCGAGGGTGGGACACGCGGACCATGAGGTCAGTGACGGCCCCTCCCCTCCCTGCCCCCCCACGCCCATCCACCAGGGCTCGTGTGCTGAGGCCATGTGGCTTGTCTGTGTTGGCCTCGGGCTTGTGGGAAGTCGTACGCCTCGTCCTCTTTCTCTGCCCCATCTTGAGTGCACCCGCGCTGTAGGTCCGCGCCCCGCCCCGGTGGTCCTGTTCCCGTGGGCGCCCTTCGGCGGCAGCGGCGGTCTCCGGTGGAGATCAAGGTCAGGCTTTTGTAGCAGCTCAGGCCTGAGGTGGTGACCGCAGACTCTCGGTCTCCATGGTCGGCGACCACAAGGTGAGGGCTGCCGTCCCCTGGTTAAGCATGGAGCTCGACCATCTCTGCACCTTCAAGATGCACACCCATGGGGCGGTCGTAGTTTGTTATTTAAGTCGTTACACACACAGCTAGTGCTTCTAATGGGACACGGGAGAGCTGCTTTTCTGTGCCAGGTGTGGCGTTGACAGCGAAGGAGTGGTGGTGTGCACACTGTTGTCATGGCAACAGGGCCCTGCAGTCTTTTTTAAGATACAGTTTATCCCCTCAGCACACCGTAATTTATCACTAAGCCGCAAAGACGGATGTCGTGAAATAGCTCGTGTTGCCTTTGAGGGTGGGGGCCCAGCTTTAAATCTAGGTCCACGGCCCCTCTGAAAGCGCAGGGGGTAATCAGTATTTGACGTGTGTGTGTGTGTGTGTGTGTGTGTGTGTGTGTGTGTGTGTGTGTGTGTGTGTCTGTCTGTCTGGGCGGTGGCGGGGGTGGGGGTGGGGGTTGTTGGGTTTCCTATCAGAAGCTGAAAGCTGTGCGCTTGGATGTCGGGACTGGAATCCATTCCTCCAGGGCCTGTGGCTATCTTTTCCCGTTTTCATTGTTCTTTGAAGGATGTGTAGATTTGGGTATCTAGATGAGAACCTTGAAGACTGACATTACAGACCCCAAAGCCAGGGGGCAGGAGGGGCCCTGGGAGGCAGCGCCCTGCTGCCCCCTTGCCTGCCGTCCCTGGGGGGATGGGCAGCAGGCGACCCGGGGGCTCTTCTCCTTGGTGTTGTGTCTCTTCTGCAAACAGCCTGGGTGTTGGTGCTTTCAGTGCTGCTTCTGGAATGTATTGTGCTTTTGTATTCAGATCGCTGCCCACAGAGCCCCAGGAAAGCCTGAGTCGATACTCTCTGCCTGTGTGACTCCCCCCAGCTCCCTAGGACCTCGCCGGGCTTAATTTTATTCATTTCCCTGTTTCACTCGGAAGATCTTAAGGTTCGGGTATCTTATTTTAGGAAAAAATATTAGGCTATTGGGAAGGTTCAGGATGTAAAAACCGGTTCAAGATTTAAAAGTGGTTTGGGGCCAGAAAACCCAACATGGGAGAAAAGATGAAAAGGACTGAGGTCATCTGACGTGAGATGGGACTGTGGAGACCTTGGTTTCGGGCGAGGGAGCTGGTTACGGGAGCAGTCCCAGTGGGAGCCATGCAGAGCACGAGGTTCAGGGTTTGCAGGAGAGGTGAAGTCACAGCCGAGGGAGGAAGTGGAGCGGGCAGAGTGGACGGGGTGTCTCACGGGGCCGACTCTGGGACTGGCGGGGGCCCCTGTCCATCCTGCTGGGACACAAGCTCTTCGTCTGAAGCCACTGTCCTGCCACAGGTGACCTGCACCTCTGGTTTGCGTTTGTGGTATCAGAGGGGGTCACTGTAGGAGATGGAATATTCTGATTCCGCACCCTGCAAGGAGCAGCCTGGAGGTGGATGGCGGGGCTTCAGTTAGGTCTGTGTGTGCTTGTGTGCCTGCACCTCTGTGCACACTGGTGCACCCACATGTGGGTGTGTACACGTGCATGTGTGGGCATAGGTACCCATGCGTGTGCATGTGTGTACGGCTGGTGTGTGCATGCTTGTGCATTGTGTACACACGTGCAAGCACGCACACGTATGGGCACGCGTGAGCTCTGAACAGCGGTGGGGCCGATTCGGCCCCGTGCCCGCCCATGCCCAGTGTCGGCACCGGGTTGTGTGCGAGGATGAGGCCCAGCCGTGACGAGCACTGTTTCCTTCCGTGTTTCTACAGCTTTCCCAACCTTTCCTTCCTTTTCTCTGTCTCCATCTCCCGACACCAACAGTGCTGTATTCCGCTTCCCAGCCCCTCCCTTTTCCTTCTGTCTCACTGCGTCCTTCCAGACGTTGGTCAGCCTTTCTGTCTGGAGTCTCTCTCTGCTTCTCCGTGGCAGCCTCATCCCTCCGGATCGCTCTCATCCTCAAGATTCTAGGTCACACCTTTGAGCGCCGCCAACCAGCCACCCTTCTGCAGGGTCGCAGGCGTGGCCTGCGCACAGGAGCGCCCCGCCTGGATCCTGCGCTGGACGGGGTCCGGGAGAAGGTGCAGGGTGCAGTCACTGGCTTCCCTCGTCCCACCTCTTACCTGTGCCCATCCCCTCCACCCCTGCACAGCCAAATCTACTGCATTGAGAGTGCACACGGCCAGCTGGTGCGGGACCTGGACTTCAACCCCAACAAGCAGTACTACCTGGCCAGCTGCGGGGACGACTGCAGGGTGAAGTTCTGGGACACCCGCAACGTCACCGAGCCCGTCAAGACGCTGGAGGAGCACTCCCACTGGTGCGTTCCTCGCGCGGGCCGCTTGGGGGAGGGGCTTAGGCAATTTATTTTGCTAATTACTTCACCGTTTGGAAAGGCACAAACCAGCTTAGTTTGTGCTGCTGTGAATCATTCAATCAACCCCGTTTTATTTTTCCTAAAGGAACACTAATTCCAAATCTGAATGTTTGTGATTCGTAAACATAGGAAAAGAAGAAAAACACTAGATTCTGTTTTCTCTTGAAATAGTGCCGGTTCAAATAGGCAAAAATGAGCATGCACAGATGTCCACGTGGCATTGTGCACAGCGCAGGGAGGCCGGGAGCTGCTCAGGGCCTGGCAGCAGGGGATTGGTCAAGTCTGTCCAGTGGTGTCGCTGCAGCGGGGATGGTGCCGCTCTCAGAGGGAGTGCGGGATGGCCGTGTGCAGGGACACGCAGAGTGCCCAAGACTGACCGTTCTCCCTGAGACGCTGTTTTTACGTATATGCCATGTGCTGGCTACTTTTTGCTAAGTGAAAGAGATCGAGTCATAGAAAATCGTGCATAGTATGAGCCAGTTTTTATTCAAATAAAGCATGTTGTGTGTACATGCGTGTGTGTGCTTGTATGTATATGTGTGTGCTTATATGTTTGTCTCCATGCGTGTGCTTGTGTGCATGTTCGTGTGTGTGTGCATGTACTGGTGTGTGTATGTATGCTTCTTTGTGCATGCGTATGGGTGTGTATGCTTGTGTGTGTGCACTTGTGTGCATGTGCATATCTGTGTGTGTGTGTATTTACCACCTGAATGCTGGAGTGTGGTTTGGACAGGTTCAGTGAGTGGCCGTAATTCCTGTGGTCTGGGGAGGCGCTCCGTCCCCTGGCCCCGAGCGGCAGTCCGGCTCTCCGCTGTCCCCTGGGTCCACCGGCGGGCGGCCCAGCTCACAAGCTCTTGGGTCTAGTGACCCGGCCAGAGAGCAGCCCTTGGGAGGCTGCCCTGGGGTGCGACCTATGTCACAGGTTCTCTCTAGTCCGTATTTTGCTTCTTGGGCAGCCTTTGCCTTTAGAATTCTGGAAAGCCTGTGTGGCTCCTGAGCAGTAAGCCTCCCCGCTGGGGTCCGTGCTGCCATTTGGTCTCCGTTAGTCAGGATGCAGAAGGTTTCAGAGCCGTGCCACGCGCCTGCCCCTGCTGGGAGCCACCCAGTGATAGACGAGCGGGTGGGACCCGGCCTCCCTGTCCTCCCACAGGGTGTGGGGCGTCCGATACAACCACTCGCACGACCAGCTCGTCCTCACGGGCAGCAGTGACAGCAGGGTCATCCTTTCCAACATGGTGTCCATCTCCTCCGAGCCCTTCGGCCACCTGGTGGACGACGACGACCTGAGCGAGCAGGAGGAGAGGTGAGCGCTCCGGTGCGGCTCTGTGTATGGGCGTGGCTGTGGGCGTGGCTCGGTCCCTGCGGCTGGTGTCGGGCGTGTCCACCCGCAGGCGCGTGGCTGTGGGCCATGGAGTCGGGTAGGGCAGCCAGGTAGGGCAGCCGAGCCGCGCCATCCGCTGTGGCCTCTGAAACGCGTGTCTGTCCACGTTCTTACTGAGCGTCACACGTAAGGTTGTGAGGACCGTGGCCCGTCTGCAGCCCTGGGGAGTGAGAAGCGACCTCCGCCGGCCCTCGTAACACCCTGTGGGAGAGGCAGTGGCGGGCGTCCCTCCTGGCCGTGCCGTCCTGGATCAGGTCGTGGACTGGCCACCCTCGCTGGCAGGTGTCAAGGCGGGGACTTCGGGCCCAGACCTGGCCCGGCCCCCCCGCACTGCTTCCCCCGAGACGCTGGGTGCTGTGCGGGAAACCTCGCTGACTTTTCCCACAGCTTCACCATCTTGGCTGAGTATTTTCCAAACTCTTTCCAATCCTAATTGCTCTGCTTGGGGGCTCTCTCTTCACAATGGGGTCGCACCTCGAGACTTGTGGGGTCCTGGGGTTCGGGGCTCACACAGGGCGGCCTGGTCCAGGGCAGCAGTGGCGGGGTGAGCCCGTGTCCTGTGTCAGCAGCGTGGGTGTAAAGGAGGCACGTCTTGTTCCTGGAGTGGATGCGCCTTCGTGTGCGGCGCTGCTTCCCGTTGTGATTCAGAGCTACCGTGGAGTTGAGTCGCCCGCCTCCAGGGCAGGAGGTTCTGGAATAAAACCCTGTCGAGCTGAGTGGTCTGAGCCGTAAAATACGAGAGGGGTTTGTCGTTATGTTTGGAGACTCTTCACACTTCTGCTTTCTGATTTCTTCCTCTGCCCACCTGAGATGAGCCTAAAATTCCTGTGTGAGAAGCTGGCTGGTGGCAGTCTGCCGATTGTCTCTCTTGAGAGAAACGCAATCATTTTTCTGTTCAAACTGAGTATTTAGATACAGTTGCAGCGGCTTCAGTCCGGCAACCTACCACGTGCAGGGCTTGGGTGTTTTCTACGGTCCTCTCTTCTCACGGCCAAGCAGGCGTCCGAGCCCTGTCTGTACCGGGGACAGAGCTGGTGGCCCCTTCGTTGGCCCCGTGTGTTAATCCAGGGGTCCTGCCTGCACGTGGGCAGCTTCAGAGAAGCGCACTAGGAAGGAAGGCGCGTGTGGCTGGCAGGCATGCCGGGCAACGGCACTGGCACGAGGTGCCGCCACGGTTTCCCGCAGGCCTGCTCCTGGGGTTGGTCCCCATGTCTTAGTGAGTTCAGGAGAATGGGAGTCCCCTGAGGACTTGTATGCGGTGTCTGTACCCGGGTGTTTGCTGGCCACCGCAGGTTGGCTTCCTGGGAGGGTCGGGCCGTGGGATGCCTGAGGGTCCGAGCCTGGGGGCACATGGAGCGGGCTGTCTCCTGGGAAAAGTCCCAGATTGCTGAGAGCTCCTTGGGTAGAAAGAGCCACGAAATGGGGAGAAAAGTGCTGAGGAGGCCCTGCTGGGTGGAGAAGCAGCCCGGCGCGTGGAGGCCTGTGACCTCGGAGGCCCAGGCGGGCGGCCCGGCTCCGCGTGCTCCCACACAGGGCCGCGCACGTGAGCACCGCCCGGGCAGGCGTCCCAGGGAAGGGGCTAGCGACTCCCATGTGAACGGGGTGCCAGGAGGTGTCACAGCCCAGGCCAGGGCCTGCCGGCCTTCCGGCCCCTCACCCTCGTCCTGAGCAGGGCTCCCCATGCCCACCCCAGGGGGCTGTGCCGGCCGGTCCCCAGGTCCCTCTGGCAGATGTCACAGGAGTTTTGGCCGTTGTCCACTTAGCCCCATGAACGTTCCCCAGCCCCTGTCCCCCGAGCCCGAGCACGTCCTGCTGCAGAGCTGCGGAGGGAGGTGTTAGGCGGTAGGGGGCCCCCCACGAGCCGCGAGGGCCCACGGCTGGGGACGGGATGGCTCTGGGCTCCCGCAGGGGCGCCCCCGTTGGCCCCCTCGGCTCCTGGGGACTGCCCGATTGCGCAGGTGAGAAGACCAGGCCTGCTGCCACCGATGGGCAGGGCGCCCGCCTCACTCATGCACGCGTGTCTCTGGTGCCTTGTAGGAGCCAGGAGCCTCCCCAGGACAGCGTCATTGCCACCTATGAGGAGCACGAGGACAGCGTGTACGCCGTGGACTGGTCCTCAGCCGACCCCTGGCTCTTTGCCTCCCTGAGCTATGACGGGAGGCTGGTCATCAACAGGGTACCCCGGGCGCTGAAGTACCACATACTGCTCTGACCCGCCAGGCCGTCCTTGGGCGGCTTCCCAGCCGCGGGCAGCCGTGTGGCGGGCGTTGGCTTTCCAGGCGGAGCCCCGTCTGGGAGAGCCAGCATCACTCTGCTCTGATGCGAGCACCTGTGAATAGTGACGGAGCATCTGCCAGCCGACCACTGGCACCTGAAGTCTCCCCTTGCCGGAAGCGAAAACACCGTCCCCAGACTGAGCTGGGGCTCCGCGGGCTGGCCTCTGCCTGGTCACTGCCTACTTCCTCTTCTCGCTTTTAAGGCTGTCGGGAGTCTCTCTGTAATTTGCTTCCATAATGTTGACTCATCTTTCTCTCAAGATTAAAAACGAAATAAAAGGAGCAGGGCCACGCTGCATGGGCTCCAGCTCTTTCTTCAGGAGCTCTGCCCCCGGTATGGCCCCATCACCCGGTCTCTGTTCATTTTCTCCGTGTTGGCCCAGAAAAAAAGGCAGATGGGCCTCCCGTGCTTCGTCCTGGGCTTGACCTGCCCATGCTCGGGCCTGGCCTGGGGGAGCCCTGACGCTGTCAGTGACCAGGGGTCTCCTGCCGGCCTTGTGCCCCATCCCCGGGCATGGTGCCCCACTGGGTCCTGTTCCTTTACTCTGATGGCATCCTCATCGCCTGGAGGTCACATGCGTGTTCCCGGGTCATGCAGCACGCTTACCTGTTGAAACCCCACGTTGTCAGGTGATCCTGAAACTCTGAGCACGGGACTCTTGCCTATTCCTTCTCCCGTGGGTCCAGGGGTCTGTTCTGGGCGTGGCCTCACCTGCCCAGGTGTCGCGTCTGTACCGAGATGGCTGTCAGGCGTAGTCCTTTTTTCACAACGGGCTTCAGCTTGAGAATGGACTCGTTCTAAACGCTGAAGCCATCTGTCGTCCCCGGAGTGTCTGTGTGGTGGTTTCTAGCTGCACTGTGAGCCCAGAGAGGCATGTCTGGGTTTTGTTTCTTTTTTTCAGGGGTAAGAGTTTGTGGGCAGAGTGGGGACCGTGGGTGAGTGGAGGACAGACGGGGCTGTGGTGGAGGGGCAGGCAGGGGGTGGTGGTGTTTAAGGCCCTTCAGCATTTCTGCTTCCAGGGAAGACCTGCGTTTGTGAGGAGTGCAAAAAAGCTCTAATGAAAGTCCTCAACAAACAGGTGTTTGTTGAGCGCCTCCTGTGTGCCAGGCGCCGTGTAAGATGCTCCAGCTCTGCAGCGACCGAGGCAAAGCTCTGGGCTCACGTGGGGTCTGCAGTCCTGCAGGAACTATCGGCTGCTGTAAATCTTTGTGTATGGGTGTTTGTGTAAACAGAAGTTTTCATTTTCCAGGGCAGGCGTTGGCAAACTATAGCCTGAGGTCATGGGGGCCAAATCCCTGCCACCACCTGTTTCTGTCAATAAAGTTTTATTGGCACGCAGCACCGCCCTTACTCACGTGCTTCGGCACACGTGCAGCAGTGGCCAGGCAACCTCAGCGCCTAAAATCTTTGCTGTCTGACCCTTTACAAAAAAGTTTGCAGCCCCTGCCGCAGGGTCAGCTCTGACCAGTGTGAGCACTGCGTTCTATGGGAGGAAACTGCTGCACTGCTTCCCGAGGGGCCGCGGGCGGGTGCTCAGCTTTCTCAGCTGCCCACGGGCATGGGGTGCTGTCATTTGTGCTTCCCTGCAGCGATGCGGAACGGCTTTCCGCGCACTTAACTCACCATCTACCCGCGTGTCCTCTTTGGTGGAGCCCGTTTTTAAAGTTACATCGATTGTTGATTATTGTGTTTAAGTCCATTAGGTTTAGAACGTTCTTTACATATTTTGGATAAAAGTCCTTGGCCAGCTGTGTAATTTGCAAATATTTTCTCCCAGTTTTTATCTTCTCTTTTTCATCCTTTTAGCAGCGTCTCTGCAGAGCAAAAGTCTTGAGTTTCGTTGAAGTCCCACTTACCCAACTTTTTTTTTTTTTATAGATTGAAATATTGGAATCAAATCCAATGTTAGGAAGGTTTTCTCCAATGTTTCTTCTAAAAGTTGTAGTTTCACAGTTTATATTTGGAGCTATGATCTATTTTGAGTTTTTTAAATAAGGTGTGAGGTTTTGGTTGTGGGTTTTTTTTTTTCTTATAGATATCCAAGTATTCCAGCACCATTCGTTAAAGACCGTAGTTCCTGCATTGAATTGCTTTTGCTCCTTTGTCAAAAGTCAGTTGGCCCTACTTGTGCAGGCCTATTTCTGGACCGTCCTGTTCTGCTAAGCTGTGTGTCTATCACTGAGGAGTTCCTGAACAACTTTATGGGGTGCTTTCACGAGCTCCTCCCGCTCTTGAGATCTTTCTGGTGCTTTCCTTTTTACACATCAGACTGCGGCTTTGTTCCCCCTGTTCTGCTGCACCGTCTCCATGCCGGAGCCGCCCGGCCAGCGGTGGGAAAACAGAGAGAGGGAGCAGGGTCCCCTCCCGGGACATAGCCTCCGGGCAGTTGGAGAGGAGGCGTCCCTCCCCCAGTCCGAGGCTTCTGCAGACTGTCCCACTGCCGCACAAAAATCGCCCGGGAGGCTGGGATGCCAGAGAACAAGCCTCCGTTTTCCTAAAATGACAGGAGAGAGCTGTTCATAAGCCCTGTCCGCGTGTGGCTGCGTTTTTGGAGAGGCTCCTCCATCTTATCAGGGACCGGAACTCCCTGCAACTTAACTTAATGTGTCCCTGTGGAGACGCAGATGCAGAACAGCGAGAGAGCCAGCCTGGGGTGCAGACGTGCCGGTGACGCTGGCTGGGCTGGTGCAGAGATGCTGGCAGGTGGTTGGTTTCTGGATGGATTGGCAGATGGAGCTGTCGAGTTTACTGACAGATTAGAGTAGGTGTGAGGCCGAGAGAGGAACCAGGGAGGGCCCAGGGGGTTGGTCTGAGCAACTAGGACGGTGACCGAGACAGGAAGGACCAGAGGAGGAGGCTGGGGGGTGGGACGGGAAGATGAGCAGCCGGGTTTGGGCTGTTGAGTTTGAGATGCCTGTGAAGTGGTCAAGTGGCCCAGCCAACCAGATGCTTGGAGACATGAGACGGCTGGGGTGGGGTCCAGGCCAGGCGAGCGGAGGTGGGAGTCTGTGTTCCTGGTGCAGACGGGTGTGCGGAGCTCTGGGCCAACGGCGTCCCTGGAGAGAAGACCAGAGGCCGAGCCCCAGCGTGAGGTTGGGCGCAGGGGATCCAGCCAAGGGGAGGGAAGAGGCCGCCGGGAGCTGGGAGGGCCCGGTGTGTGGGGTGTTCTGGAAGCTGGCGAGCCCGTCTGCTTTGTCAGTGTCGCTGTGGGGTGTCAGGTGGGCTGAGAGCCCATTGGCCTGGCAGCATGGGGGTCACTGGGGAACCTGACACGGCAGCTGTCACGGGAAGCAGGTGGAGTGGGTTCAAGAGAGAATGGGGAGGAATAAGCCGGCAGATGTGTCGGCAGCCTGCGAACGGTCCCGCAGCAGGCAGGGGCCAGCAGGGCTGCTGTCCGCTTCGAGAATGGGGACAGCTCCGTGTTTAAACGCTGGTCGTTTGCAGGACGAGAGGGGAGAGTGATCGGGCTGCGGGAAGCGGTGATGCCAGGGCACCAAGCCCCAGACCCAGGGCTGCTGCTCTCACACCCACGGCCATCACATCATCCAGTGGGTCCCCTGTGAGTCGGTGCAGATAACAGTCGTGTTCTAAAATGTGCACACTTTCAAATACGTGACACGGTCCACCTTGCTGACGTCTTTGTGAGGTAAACATAGCCATCTCTGGGTGCAGGGATTCAGCTGGGAGTGGACGGGCCTGTGGTGCTCTGCTGGAGCCTGGGGCAGCCCTGGTCCCTGGTCGCCTCCCCGTCCACACGGATCTTGTGGGCTCCCCTTCTTCACCGTATGCAGCCTGATGGCCTTCGTGTCCGGGACCAGACAGAAGGGTGTGGCAGATGTGACGATGCAGAGGGAATGTTTGCATTTTTTTTTTAAATGTACACATTTGGATTTATCAAATTTAATTTTTTTGTTTTGTCTTTTTACTATACAAAAATTTATTGCATTTAGTCAAATGTGTCTTATCCTTCTTAAATTTTATTGGAGTATAATTGATTTACAATGTTGTGTTAGTTTCAGGTGTACACCAAAGTAATTCAATTATACATATACATGTTATCTATTCGTTTTCAGATTTTTTTCTCACATAGGTTATCCCAGAATGTTGAGCAGAGTTCCCTGTGCTGTACAGTAGGTCCTTGTTGGTTATCTATCTTATATTTACAAAACAGAAACAGACTTACAGATGTCGAAAACAAACTTGTGATTACCAAAGGGGAAACGTGGGGTGGGGGTAAGTCAGGAGCTTGGGATGAACGTGCCTGTTTTATTTCCAGCGGTGCCCAGATTGTTTTCCAAGCTAGGCCTCTGGGCCCCCTTCCATCCTCCTGCTTGGCGGGGAGCTGCGGCCGCCCAGCCGGGGCCATGGGCGCGCCGAGGACAGGCCCCAGTCTGTGACACGTGGCAAGAGCCATGTCGTCTGGAGGTGGAAAAGCTGGGGTGGGGGAGTAGGGCTGCCTTTAAATGCTTGGTGTGCTCTTGGGGGCCTGCCACCGAGTGTCAGGACAGCCCTAAGGTGGACTCTAGCAGAGCAGCTTTCACTGCAACAGAAGAAGCAACTTCCAAGTGGAGGTTCGGGGTCCTCCCCCACCCTCCCCCCACCCCGGGCCCCCTCCTTGCCTCTGCGGCCGGATGGGCAAACACACGGCACAGAAAACGATGTGAAGATTCCAGGAAAGGGGGAAGAGAATCAAAAGGACCAAAATAAAGGAAAAAACAAGAAAAACAAAAGAATGACAAGAACATGGGCAGAGACCAGATCAAGACACGTGGACCGGGATGGGCAAATGGGCAGCAGGCTCGGTCTGGACGTGTGTCCGCCAGGGGGCTGAGGGGACACGTGGACTGCCAGGCGCCGGGCCCTGGGGTGGGGCTGAGGAGAGCAGGGCCAGGTGGGCCTTCCGCCTGTGGCCCCTGCAGGGCTGCCCGCTCCCTGTCCTTCTGTCGTGAGGCCTCTTGCTCCTGGGTTCCCTCCGGCCGCACCCCAGGCTCATCCCCTGGAGCCCCGGTAGCGGCGCGAGGTCATGGCTGACCCTGCACCCAGCCCCACGCCTCCTAAACCAAGACGCCATCAGGTCGTGAGCTGCTCAGCAGCCCAGCTGGGCTCCCTCCAGTGGGTGGGGAGGAGTGAGCACGGCGCCTCGTGGGCCCGTGTCTGGAGCAGCCTTCGGGCTCCAGGCCTCTGCTGTCTCCCTGCAGACGGCCGCCCGCCCTTCACCCATTGGCTGCACCGACTCCCCAAAAGGCCCAGGTCCAGCCCCACATTGGGCAGCATCCTGTGTGCTCAGCACAGACTCTGAGGGTCCCTCCGGGGTCTGCTGGGCTCCGCACGGCCGGCCCCGCCTCCTCCAACCCAGCCCCGCCTCGTGCCCTGGCTGCCTCCGCCGGTTTTTCTGCAGTTCAGGCCCAGCACATGTCCCACATCCCTAGCCTGCACCCCTCACTCTGCACCTTCGGGCCCCTCGCCTCCTGGGGGGCCCCATCAGAGGGGCCGGCCCCCCAGTCTCCGTCACAGCAGCTGCCCGTTCCCACGCTCACGACTGGACTGAGACGACCAAGAGCATCACGCTGCACACGTTCGGCGCTGACTGAATGCGCGCAGGCTCTGCACGGACGCGAGCTGGGACGCCTGCCCGGGGCGGTGGGCCTTGCCAGTACACGGGTCAGGCGGACCCCAGAGGTCAAGGCAAAGCAAAGGTTGCCTACAGACCCTCAGTCCTCAAAACTCAAAAAATGAAACTCATTCACTGGTGGATCTAGCCTGAGATGGGCTCGTCCCCCCATTTTTTTTCTTTTTTTTTTGATATTTTATGTTTACTTATTTTTTCACATATATATGTATGCTTTATAAACCGAGTCATTTTATTTTATTTTTTAAAATAAATTTATTTGTTTATTTTTGGCTGCATTGGGTCTTCGTTGTTGCGTGGGCTTTCTCTAGTTGTGGTGAGCGGGGGCTACTCTTCGTTGCGGTGCGTGGGCTTCTCATTGCGGTGGCTTCTCTTGTTGCAGAGCACAGGCTCTAGGTGCGAGGGCTTCCATAGTTGCGGCACACAGGCTCAGTAGTTGTGGCTCGCGGGCTCTAGAGCACAGGCTCAGTAGCTGTGGCGCACGGGCTTAGTTGCTCCGTGGCATGTGGGATCTTCCCGGACCGGGGCTCGAACCCGTGTCCCCTGCATCGGCAGGTGGGAGAGCATGGCCAGCCAGGGGGCCTGAGACCCTGACTGAAACTCCGGGGACTGCAGTGAACTGGCTGTGTACAAGTGTTGTGTGGGGAGGGCAGCTTCCCTGCGAGGTCTGCCAGTTATGGCCTTTGACATTACCCATCCTCTGGCCTGAAGATGCCAGCGCAGAATCTTGGCTTGGAGCCAGACTTCTCAGAGAGTCCAAGATCCAGTTCAAATCCCACCTCCTTTGCAGAACTTTTCCTGAACAGTCCACTGGCAGGTCCAAGAGGATGAGGAAAAGCTCCTGCAGTGTCTCCACATTGCCCAGCAGTGTGTCTTGCTCATGATGTGAGTTATTTGGGAAAAAAAACATACAAATTAAAGGAACCAAGAGGAAAAACAGACAGTAGAGCAGAAGAGAACTTCAAAATCTGAAGAAAATAATCCGTGTGAAGAGATGAAGAGTTAGACGTTCACCCATAAAATAATTACAAGCTGTTATAGAATAGAATTGCAACAGAAAGTGCTGCAATCAGTGTGCATGAAATGAAAGTCGAGATGCAGGTGGAAATTTGGAGATTTGTCATATTGAAACCAAATTTCTCCATGGCTATATTTCAAGACCCAAGATTAAGGGAGATTTTATCTCAGGCAAGCTCAAAGCAATAAGCTTGTTTCTCCTGTGATCCTTGGAATTTATGGGAATTTTCAGGGTCTACAAATAAAATCTAGATAAAATGGTTAGAAAAACAACAAAGCATGGCTACTGCAGAGCAGCACTTGGACCGACTCCCACAGGAGGGGCCTTCAGGGACCCCGCTGCCCCCGGGGTCCAACAGTCCTGAATCCTGAAGCGCGGTGACCCAGGATTTCCAGCCGTAGTTTCCAGAGTCACCAAGACCACATGCTGGTCACTGTCCTTGGCTGCCCTCTCTCCTGGCACGTTCTGCCCATGTCCACCTCCCTGACTCTGCTCCTGATACCCCTTCCCCACCCAACATGCCTCTGATGTCTTCTCGTGGTTTCTGCCTGTCCGTCCTCTGCGGCCGAGCTCAGCTCTCGCCTCTTCCCTGAGGCCGCCTGCTGTTACTCAGCCTGTGTTCATCTGCCCCCTCGAATTCATGTTGTGCTCGGTCAGCCTCGAGCCTTTCCGCGCTGAGTTAAACTCCACGGTTCCTTGGACAGCCTTTCGCCCCCTGAGTGGCAGTCAGCTCAGCCAGCGCTCACTGAGCCTGCTGGGGTCCAGCAGGACAGGATGAGGGGCGCTCCTTCCGAACGCCCATGGCCCTCCCGGCCGTGTGGCCGAGCGGTGACAGCAAAGGCTCCCCAGACAGATTTCCAGGGCTCAGGCCTGGCTCAGCGCCGGCCAGGCACGTCCCCAGGGATGCCTCAGTTGCCTGTGAGTCGGATGACCTTCACAGGGCTTTGGGGGATTAAATTAATTTATCCTTATAGCCCACTTAGGACAGTAAGCGCTGCATGGGTGTTAATGGTTATCTTAATAGGAACACATATACATTGGTCCATTTCAACATAAAAGATCAGAAATTACATGATATGTTGTGGAAGGAAAATTTTTCTCTCTACCCTTTCTAGATTCTTCTGGCTGAGCCTAAGAGTTAAATTGACCTGAGACAGATAACCAGAGAAAATCAAATTTAATTATGTAGGTTCAGAGGCCCCATGAGAAAACCGAGACCCCAGGACAGGCTGGGCAGTGGAGGCCTGAGCCATCTGAGGCAGCGGGGAGGGCCTGGGACTTCACAGGGGAGGAGAGATTCACACGGAAGTGGAAAAACAAATGTTTGGTAAACAAGTGTTTGCTGGGCCACGCAGAGACAGTGGGACGTGGATGGGACTTTGGTCTCCAGGCCCTGCAGCACCCCCCCCCAACCCCACCAGTATTCTTTGTGGGCATCTCTGGTGATACTGCACTTCCTGGACCAGGCCCTTTATCTACACTCCTTTAGGCAGGAAAGGGGGGGATAAAAAGCAAGACTTCTTCCTGAGTCTTCTGCTTCTTCAAAATAATCAGCCTAAAATAATCCCCATAGTAAAAGGACACGTTGTTGGGAAGGAGGAACAAAAAAGGAAAGAAGATGAATAGACAGAGATAAGTGACTCAGCACCGCTCCATGGATTTCAGCCTCAGGAGAGCACGGGAAAAGCGGGCAGACCAGGGGCGGGGATGCCTCTAAGCAGACTGCGCTGACTAGGCACTCCTTTGGAGGGACACAGGCTGTCAGGGCTGCGGGAAGTTTGGTGCCCAAGGGTGACGTGGCTGAAGCTATATCACGGGAAGATGATTCCGTCTCTAGTTTCCAAATGAACCCTCCTTGAAGATGGGGCGTGCTCCTTTGTGATCAAGGCATGGAGAAGGTGCCGTTTTGTTTTTGCCTGATTAGCTCTGCTCCTCCTTCAAGACTCAGTATAAATCCCCAGAGAGCTTCCCCGACCACTAGATCTAAAGTAGTTCCTCCTTGTTATTCTCTCTCATATGACTTCCTTCTGCATGGCACTTACCCACGTGGGAAGCATTGATAAATGTTAATGGTGCAGCGGACTGTGTCATGGGGGCCCGAAACCTGTTCTCTGTTCACTGCTGTCCCTCAGTGCACAGTTCAGGGCCTGGCACATGGGTTCTCAAAGATTGTATGGATGGGTGGGGGGATGGGGGGATGAATGGGGGATGGGTGGAGGGAGGGGGGATGGGTGGATAGGTTGCCCTGGCTCCCCAGGATGAGAATGACTGGAGACAGGAGAGGATGGTGCACAGAGCTCCCCGGACTGGAATTACCGGGAGGGTCAGAACGCAGCTCCCTGGTGGGGCTGGAACCTGCTTAAACAGCCCAGGTGTTTCTTAGGAGATTCACGTGTGTGCTCATG